CACATTCCTTGCATAGCCATATGCAGGAGAAGATTGCCATTAGACCTGGGCATGATACAGGGCAGAGCAGGCAGCACCCCCCCTTCACCAGGGGTGTGTTCCTGAAGTCAGGGTGTGGACCCGTGTGTGTTGTGGGACCAGCCCTCACTGGCATGGCGTTTTGGAAGTGAAGGAGGATGCAGAACCCAAAGGCCTGCATTGAGTCCTGACTCCCAGGCACCCTGCCCTCGAGCAAGTGGCATAACCTCTTTCAGCTTCATCTCGCCTTGTGCCATTCATGTGAAATTTGTTCACCCCTGCTTCTACTTTCCCAGTGAAGCCCCATATACGTGGAGGGAAGGGGCTCCTTTCTGGATGACAGAAAGCTGCGCTGGGCCTCTGTGGAAGGCCTCCCCTCTTCTGCCCTCCCCACACCTCAGGACAAGTGAGCTGTGTAAAAGAGCTGTGTAAAAGAGCTGTGTAAAAAACAGGTGCTGGGAGCAGCTGTTTGAACTGGCTCTTGGGAACCTTTCTTCATGGGACTACTCAGCCCATTCTATGACCTCTCTTCCCTTCATGAGAAAATGACATGCCAGTGGCACTCTGTTCCCATCATCAGTGGTGGGGCTGGGCACGTTCAGTCTAGCTTGGGCATCTAGGCCATCACTGCCTCAGGGGTTTATGGATTTGTTCACTCACGCAGTAAACCTCTGAGTTCCTTGTCTCCTCAGGCCCCATGCAGAGCTCTGTGCATGCAGGTGAATCAGGTACCAGCCCTGGCACCCAAGAGATACTGGCAAGGGACGATGACCAAGTAAATTGACCCTGGGATCAGTGTTGAGAGGGGGTGCAGTGCGCAGAGTGCCGACAGAGGCCGTGGGAAGGTGGGGAAGGAACAGGGCAGCTGGGGCTGGGTTAGGTGCGAGGTGCTCTGCCGGCTCCACCAAGGACGGGCAGCAGGCTCAGGGTGGCAGCGGCAGTATCTGATTACAGCACTTGCATCCACACCGGCTTCTGCTGGACCTTTCTAGCCAGGGGCTGCCCAACCGAACCCTCACTTCCCATCTGCCAGCCCACTATACAGAGCTGTTGCAAGGAGGCAGGCCTTAGGTGATGTCCTCAGGAAGGCAATACCAGAGCCCAGGCTGTCGGTGAGTTCATCCCTGCCCCTGTTTTATAGATGGGGCAACTGGAACCTAGAGAGGTGACATGGCTTGGCCAAGGTGGTTGAGGGATCAGTGGTAGAACTGGGACTTGAACCCCAAGTACTGCTTAACCTAATGCGTAGTGCCTGCTTCCAGACTGCCCTTCCCTCTGTAGGAAAACAGGTCTCTGCCCACGCCGATCCCCTCTAGCTTCCCCCAGGTTGCTGGGTGGGGGAGAGGGGAAGATGTATTTAGGGGGACCTGCAGCATGGAGACAGAATGCCGGCTTGGAATTCGGCCCTGAATTGAGTCCAACTATACCACCCTCTGATCGAGTGGCCGTAGTTGGCCATGTCACTTAGCTGAGCCTTTTTTTATCACCAGCAGAATGCAGTAATGATGCCAGACTCAGAGGCCAGTTGAGGAGTCAGTGGAAGTGCTGAGGTTCAGAAACTTCACTGACCTTGTGGGCAACTTGCAGGCAGGAGGCGGGGGCTTGGTGCAACAGCCAGGGCAGCCCTGCTCTTCGTCTCATTCAGCAAACCTCCCTGAGTGTGTGCTCTGGGCCCGGCCCTGGCAGGCCTCTGGGAATCCAGCATGGATCAGACCCAGGCCTGCCCCTGGGACAGCTCCCCGGGAGATGGAGAATGGGCTTATATCAGAATCAGCAGTTAGCATAAGGGCTGCGGGAGCCCAGAGGGAGACACCCTTTCTCTTGTGTTTTCAGTTTCTCTTCACATTAGGTTCTTTCCATGGGTGTGGGTGTGGTAAGGTGGCCTCTGACAGTTCCTGGCTTGCATGGGCCTTAGCATTTATTGTCTCAGGGAAGGAAAGACCGTTCTCCAAAGGCTTGGCACTGTGTCCATTTTGAAGGATGTACTATTTTATCTTATCATTCAGGATCATCTGGCAGGGGAGGCAAAAAGGGGGTTTTCTAAGCGGAGCAGTGAGGCCATGGGGGCTTGCACGGGGAGGGTGCTAAGATTAAGCACTGTGCACCAGGTTCCACTTGAGGGCTGGGTTCTGGGTCAGCCCGGTTGGGATGACCTGGTCAGGGGACCCCAGGCCTATGAACAGGAGTGGCCACTCCCTTTAAGCAGCCCTCGCTGACTCAGATGGAAACATCTGTCACTCTTCAGCAGACCAGGCATTTCCTGCTTAGTTGCTGAGGAGGTTGAGGGAAGAAGGGAAGGGGCAAAAAGAGAACAGTGAGTGGGGTGGGAAAGCCTGATTCCGACCAGCTTACCATGGGTCTGTGTGATTTCCCAGGTCTGGATAGTAGGGCACGGGCTGAACCAGACGCCGGAACTTGTTTTATACTCTAACCTTACCTAATTCAAGAGATCTAGAATAAGCTGAACAGATGGATGTGGGTTAGCAGGAGGAGCATTTTTAGGTCTTTTCAGTTCCAATGGGAGAAATGTCACCAACATGGAATTACCATCCCTCCCCCCATGCAGTAGTGTTCCACAGAGTGAGTGGAACCATTTGGCCCTGACCCGAAGGCAGGGTCTAAACATCCAGCCTTTCCTTCAGCCACCACTGGAGCTATTGGCCTTGGCTCCTGCTTGAAGTAGAAAGTAGTCAAAGTAGACCGGTCTGATGCGCTTTGGGCCATTGCCTTTTTTTTTCCCTCCTGCCCAGCAGAGGGGAAATCCCCCAGCACCACCCTCTTTCTCCCCCCACCCCTCCCCTCACTTGTCCTGAAACTTTGGCCCGAGGATCTTGCTGAATGCCGATTTTGCTTGATTAGATCCAGACTGGAGCCAGAGGTCTGCATTTCTAAACAGCTCCTAGACCTCACTTTGAGTAGAACGGTGCTCGAGTACATTCTGTATTCTCCCCAGCCAGGGTGCCCAGCCTGCCCCAGATCCAAAGCAGGGACTGTCCTACCCTTAGCTGCATGGCCCCTGCCCCCCGCTTCATCCCTCTCAGCTGCTGGGGGTTGGCTGGCAAGCCAGCCCTGGCATCAGGGGTTCAGGCCCAGACTTGGGCCTCACTTCCCTACCCCACTCCTGGACAGATTTACCAGTCCCTGAACACAACCCACCTTTGCACTTGCTGCGTTCCACCTGGCAGTCAGGGAAGGGAGAGGTGCCTTGGCGGGAGTCAGGAATCCTAGGTGCCAACCCTGGCTCTGCCACCTACCCCCTATGTAACCTGGGCAAGTCAGTGCTCTTCTCCCCACTCTCCTTGCCAGGTCTCTACTAGACCCCAGAGGGCCTCAGGCTCCGGGATGGCTGTTGGGCAAATCTGGAGGTGGGCCGTGGGAAACCTGTGATGGTACAAGTTTTATACAGAAGGGGAGGGATTAGTTGTGAGGCTGGAGTGCCTCTGTGGCTCAGCCTCTTTACTAGGCTTTGTGAGTTCACACACTGCACCTGCAGCCCAGTTAATACCGGGGAGTGTTAGATGCCACCGAGTGTGCCCTGGGGGTGGGGCAGTGAGCCTGTGGTCTTGCCTAGGTTTCCATAGTGGGTGGAGCTGAATTCTGAGCTGGTGTCTGGCCCTGCTGCTGCGCCCTCCCCCATTCCTTTGCTTCATCAGGCCTGGTAAAGGGGCCAGAACCAGTGTGTCTACCTTGAGACCTGGTGTTATCTCCCTGCCTTCTAAAAGTCAAAGCAATTGTTAACTTTCAACTGATGAGGGTTATGCCCCTTTCTAAGCTCTGCTGTGACCTTGTTGCTCTACAGATTTTGAAGAACTGCGAAAGCTTGAATGTAATTCCCTAAACCCCTCTCCCAGCAGTAGGGCAGGTAAAAGGTCATGAGACCCACAAGGACAATCTTGCGCCTAAGTCCTCCATGCTCCAGGCCTCACAGAGTGCCTGGTGTGAAAAAATGTTGGCCCAGCACACCGTAGGCACTCAGTAAAAATGTGCTGAGCACAGACATCAGTTGGAGCTCATCCGATGAACAGTGGAAGACATTTAACTGTGGCTGAAATGAGCAGTGTGATTAGGACTACAAAAAATATTTTAAAAATCAATTCATATTAGTGAGGGTTTGAAGTGGCCCTCTCCTTTGGTCCTGCTGCCCAGACGACTGGGTGTAGCTGGGGAACTTCGTTGGTGCTCTTTGCTCTTCCCCAGGCGTCCTGGCCTCATTGCCTATCAGCTTCTGGGGTCCAGGCATCACCTGGGGCTCAGCCACAGCTAGTCAAAAGCACACAGCGTGTCCTCACTTCCAAGTTTGCCACTTGCTTAGTAGTGAACATAATTGCAGTCTCTGTGTCCTCCCAAAGTTTGCCAGTCACTGGGGCCTTTGAGGAAGCAGAGGTTCCACCTGCTTCCTCTCTGGGCACCAAGCTTTGGGTGCTGAAATGAATGAAGATAAAGTATTAATTCCTCTGAAGGTGGCAGTAGTGGATGGTGGAGGTGGGGTCAGAGGGCTCGACTCCCTGGGGAAGGGTCTCTTTCCTGGGAATAAGTGGAGCCAGGCAGGGACTGGGGGTGCTCAAAGTACACTGAGTGAAAAAAACATTGCAAATTGGATGTTGAACCTCTGTCCTTGGCCTCACAGACACAGATAGCAAAGATTAAATATTTGTCCTGGATCCAGATAAAGGATGAGGACAGGAGTTTGATTGGGGGGGAGGGGAGGGAAGAGCCTCCTCTTGGCCCAGCTCCTGGGCCAGCCTCTCCGAATACCTCATCAAAAATATCCTGGGAGAGAGACACCATTCCCATTGGGCATAAATAGAAACGGGCACAGGGAAACATGTGAGTAGTCCAGAATCACAGAGCTGTTGTCTGGCAGGGCAGGATTTGAACCCAGGTTCTATGGTTCATGCTTATCTCTATACCTAGAAAGTGCCCACAGCAGTTTGAGGTTGAAGGGAAGGTGACAACAGGCTGACATGTCGTCTCTGTTGCAGGCACTGGCTCCAGCATCCTCTCCGCCCTCCAGGACCTCTTCTCCATCACTTGGCTCAACAGGTCCAAGGTGGAAAAGCAGCTGCAGGTCATCTCGGTGCTGCAATGGGTCTTGTCCTTCCTCGTGCTGGGTAAGCAGGCAGGGCCACCAACCATGGGGGCAGAGCAGAAGCTCTGGGGTGAGGGCTCAGAACTTCCTTCTCCCCACTCACCATTTCACCTTTCGGGCTCTTGATCAAGCACTCTACTCCGAGGCGTGTGCGAAGGCTTAACTTCCATGCCTGTTGGCCATGCCATTCCTGTTTTACGAACAGGAAAACCAAATCTCAGAGAAAGTAGGTCACTTGCCCAAAGCCTCACAGGTCTGTCTTCCCTGTGCCATCCTGCCTGCCACAGTAGTGTCCATCAGGTGTGTTCCTTTGTCTTAGGGTAGTGTGGTACCCAGCTGGGGTCCTGACTCTCACAGACATCCGCCATGACCTTACATAGGTGACGTGAGCTCTCGGTGAGCTCCCGCACCTCTGACGTGAGGAAAATGCTGCCTACTTCATGTCACCTTTGTGCAGATTAAGAGATGGAGTGGTGGCATACGCACAGGGCCTGGTTGTGTTGCCCCCGCCCCAATCACCTGGAGCTGGTATTGGAACATGCGTTCAGCTCACCCTCCTGCAGAGCCATGACTGACAGCTGCTCCCTGTGGCCCTGAAGTGCTGGCTCCTTTCTCTCCACTCTCTCATGGCAGTGCTTAGGCTGCTGCTTCTGTAGTTCCAGGTTGGTGCCTTTACTCCCTGGGTTGCCATCCAGACTCAGGTCAGGACAGTGTGGATGGTCTGGGAAGAGGAAAGGGTTGAGATCCGGCACCCCAGCCCTTTCTGCTCCCCCGGCCCCGGTGTCCTAAGCATAAGGAGTAGCTGCCCTAGCTTGTTAGGGCAGACAAACCTGCTGCCGCTTCATGACCTCCAGTGCCCGAGGGCAAGTCCCTCCAGCAGCTCCTCTTCCGCCCTGTCCAGGCTGGGGATTATCCAGAGTTATGAGTCTGTTGTGACCTTGTCCTTCCATTGGTAAGCAGGGGCTTCTGGGGCCACACTCTGGGGCAGCTCCACCCTCTTCCCTCCCTCTTCGCGGAGAACCAGGCACTCAGTGTCTTCCTTGAGTGCCCACTTAACAGGTGAGAGAGGGAGACTGGCAAGGGCTCAGAGTCTCTGAGATTGTGAAGCTTGTGCAGTTGGCAGAGTTGGGGGTGAAGGGAAACCCAGAGCGCTCACCAGAGAGTCCACTTTTCCAAAATCCCAGCATTAGAGGTCCTGATGTGAAGCACAAGTCTCCCCCTTTTAGCCCAGAATGGGAGCAGAGAGGAGTGTCCACAGCTCCTGAATGTGCATGAGGTATGTGCATATGTTTCTAGGGAGAAGGAGACCTAACTATGCATGAGGTATGTGCATATGTTTCTAGGGAGAAGGGTGTCCACGCATTCCTGCAGGGACATATGGCTGCAAAGAGATACACTGGTCTGAGGAGGAGAGCAAATTCAACTGGCCCCTCAGGGCTCAAAGCCCCAACTTGGCTGTAGTCAGCCACTTGGAATCCTGGAGTGGAGGGTACAGTGGAGGCCAGATCCTTTCCCAAAATCACATGAGAAGGAAGTAGTGGGAGTAGGAAAGAGTCCTTGGACTCCAGCCTCCCCAACCCCTGCCTGCTCCTGGCTCCCTAAACCCCATGTGTACGGGGAAGTCACCACTATCCCATCTGAGTGGGTCAGGGCTTGGTTGATGCCAGGAGTAACCTCAGCCCTTGCAGTATGCGATGGGGACTGCCCCAAGCTGTAGGTTAACGATTGATTATACCCAGCCACAACCCAGAAACCAGCCGAGCATCTCCCCAACACCCTTGTGTAGGTGGGAGCCAAGCCTGATTGGATGGACAGGTCTGCTAACTGCTGCTAATTAGCACCCTGAAAGCCCAGCACTCCCTCTTTGTCGCCCAGTCCTGCAAGATGCTTGCTCAGTGTTGCAGAGGCTGCTGGGTGCCGCTCGGCATCCCTCTGTCCCAGAGGTTCTCCTCACTTTGTGCCATGAACCCTCTGGCATTCTGTGGAAGGCTATGAACCTTTCCCATTCTTTTTAAATGTGTAATACAAATACATTGAACTTCAAAGCAAATAAGTGATACTGAAATACAGATATGCACACATTAGGAAATCTAATTATAAAAGGAAATGAAATAGCTACTAGAGTATTTGTGACCCAGAATTTAAATTAGCAAGTTGAAGAGCTCATTGCTAAAGAGAGAAAACTTTACACATGCATTTCTATTGCGTTAATTAAAATTATCCAGCAGCAGGTATAATCATTATTATAATTTGTAAGCAGTGATGAGAATAAGTGATTTTTCAAGGTTTCTACTATTGCCATAAATGTGATATGAAAATACCCAATTCTTATTGGTGTCACACTCAGCACGTCCTGTTGATACTTGCGTCTACTACGTTGGTAAATGAAGGAGATATTAAATTTCCATAAGAGATAGGTGAAGATGTCAGTTTTCATCCCTACCCAAGTCCATGGAACTGTAGACTGGATGCTCAATTGTGTGTTAAGTCCTCTTCAGACCTCACCTCATACAAGCTTCCTGATGCCTTGTAAGGAAATTGAGACTCAGGAATGGTGGCAACCGTGAGAGCAGGTCTGTGCTTGCCGCAGCCCACTGTGCCTGCCCGGCGCCCCCTCCCTCCAGGGCCAGAGTCTTGTGTCCTGGGCCTCACCACGTCGAGGGAGGCCGGGGGGTGAGGGCCTGTGGAGGGGCTCCTGACCCTTCTGTACCTGGGCCTGGCTGTTTACCTCCCTGGGACCCAGTAGTGCTGTGGTAGAAGATGCCCGTTGTTCAGAATACAGGGATTAAGCTCAGGAGAGGAAGGTCATTTGCTCAGTTAGTCTATTTTTTTCCAGTGAACCTTTACTGTGTTTGGTTGCTGGCTGGAGAGATCATCCTGACCTGTCTGTCTGCTGGAAGGGCTGTCTGCTGGAGGCAGTATCAAGGGGGAGGCCAGTAGGGAGGGGTCAGAGGATGAGCGCTGTGACCCTAGGGTGAGGGTCATAGGGCTGGTGGGAACAGAGCTGGGAAGGGAGGAAGCCAGAATGCAGACTGCGGACTCTTGGGCGCTTCTCTTTCCCCACGGAGGCTGTGTTCGCGTCAGAGTGAGGACCCCCAGAGAGCCCAGACATCTAGCAGTCAGGCCTGGGCCTCAGCCCGGGAGTCTCTCCTCCCTGGGGAGAGTAGGAGTTTGGGTAGCAGCTAGGTGGCCAGGTTCTCGGGGCCTAGCCTGAGCTCATGGCCCTGCCCAGGCCTGCTGGCAGTACCTGCCTAGCATCGGAAGGCGCATGGAGACCGGTGAGGCTGAGGCCCTTTCCCCAGTCCTAAGAAAGGGGCGCAGAGGCAGACTGTTCACATGTGACTTTGTAAGTGACCTTGCTTAGCACTGCCATTTGCAAAGTCACCTCAAGGACGTTGCAGTTTGTCTTTAACAAGATTTCTTGGACTGCAAATTTCAAATTGGATGCTTCTCCCCTATCTGCAGTGTCACGTTCCTCAGGGCATCCTGAAAATTGGACACCTGGTCACTCTGTGCTCATTGTCCCCACCATAACAGTTGTACTGTTTGGGGCTGCCTTTGGGAAGGGGCTGATTCAGGTCTGAAACAGGACTGAGGATGACCAGGGATCACACTTCCTATCCTTGGGCTCACTGAGAATCTTGTCTGCCCCTCGGGAGGCAGAGGAGGCTACGGTGGCGGCAGCCCTAGAGCACCCCTCAGGCCCAGGGGAGGGTGGGCATCCGGGCCGTCCAGGGTGGTGGCACTCCCTGGGCAGTGAGAGGGTCTGGACAGAGGCTGTTCCTAGCAAACCTGAGTCTCCACACTGTGCCGGGGGCGCAGAACATGTGGCTCCCTGTAGGGCGGAGAAGTCAGGCGAGAAATCCAGTGGGGCAGTGTGATATTGGAGAACAGTTCTTGAAGAGATGAGGTCTGACTAGGCTTTGAAGGCTGGCGGCACTGCTGAGGGCATGTGAGGGCAAGCCATGACTTTCCTTCCTTTCAGTGCCAAGTATGGCTGGCAGGTGCAGGACAGAGTGACCAAATGGAAGCGGGCCCCTGGGGAGGCTGAGGGTGCTGCTGGGGTTCTGTGAGCGGGGCTGCTGGGCCCGCCTCCCCACCTTTGCATTGGAAGAGGACCCGGTCTCCCTCTGAATCCTGCCAGTGGCAGGCTGATGCTTCTAACTCTTAGCGAGCTTGTAAAACCTGGTGCTATCCCCCTTCTAGCTTCAGTGTTCACATCTCTAACATGGCATAAGAGTCACCCTGGCCGCCCCATGGCTCAGCCCAAGTCCAAAGATAGACACTCAGCTGGTCCCTCCTTTAAGACACAGTCACTGCTGGACACTAGGGTGGCCGAAGGCACAGCTCCAAGGATAGCTTCACACGAAGCTGAAGTCAGCTTCAGGGATGTGGGGTGCCCCGCAATGCCAGGACAGGCCACCAGGGTCGAGGATAGAAGGCCGATGTCACCTGAACCTGTTCCTGCCAGACTGTGGCTGCAGGATTCTCTGCCCACGACCCCGACTGTGCCTCACTCGCGTCACAGTCAGTGCCCACTCCGTGATTCAGTGATCCTCGGCCAGGGGAGACTGAAGGCTGACTCTGGTTACCTGCCTCCCCTCAGGAGTGACCTGCAGTGTCATCCTCATGTACATATTCTGCACCGACTGCTGGCTCATTGCTGTGCTCTACTTCACCTGGCTGGTGTTTGACTGGAACACACCCAAGAAAGGTAAACACACAGCCCATTACCCCACCCTCACCCTGGTACTGCCCCGCCTACTTCACCCCTCTGTCAGATGTATGGGCTAGGCCTGGAGTGTTTGGAGTGAGTGAGGGGCAGGTTTAAAGTTCCCCAAAGGGTGCCGTGCTGGTCTCTTTTGAAGCTTACACTCAGCCAAGGGTTTGTGTAACATGAGGAATAGAGGTAGTGAATGTGGATGGGGTGGAGAGCTGTGCACAGTAATGGTCCCTACCTAGGGTTCCACTCTGACCATGGCTGGCTGCCCTGTCCCCCAGCCCGTCTCCTTCTAACACTGTATTTGTTCCCCGGCAGGTGGCAGGAGGTCACAGTGGGTCCGAAACTGGGCTGTGTGGCGCTACTTTCGAGACTACTTTCCCATCCAGGTAAAGACTTGTGGGTGTTATCTTGGGAGGGTGGGAATGGACGAGACAGCTGAACTGAAGCCTTAACCCACCATCCTCAGTGGCCGCACAAGCCGAGTTGAGCCACATGCCATCTCCTGTTATAAATGCCCTTCATGCTCACCACTGATAATAGAACTCGAAGCAGTTTAGGGTACATACATACAGTGCCAAACAGGGAAAGAAAAATCAAGACTTGGGTGAAAAATAATAGTATTTCAATTATAAAGATCAACAGAATTTCAGTGGTTGACCTTCATAGTCAGCTCTGAGCTTTCTGGCAGCCAAGGTGAAAAGGGAAATATGATGGTAGTTGGCTTTTTTAGGGAAAGGGAGAAGCTCTTTCATCCCTTGGAGAAAAAAGAATTTTTGTAGCATCTGGATCGAAAAGATGTTCCAGCAACTGCAATTCTGAGTGATGTAAGGAGTAGGTATATTATGACTATTGCTTGTCTGTCTTTCAGTGAATATTAAATGTATAACTTAAAGTGGAGGTGATTTATCAAGAGCATAGCTAAGGTAGGGCAAGCTTACCTGACCTGAACCAAGGATAGCTCTTAAAGCAACAGGTGCGAGGCTTACCTTCCTTCCATGGGTCTTCTAAAAGTATCACCTCTCTCAGCCAGTCTTGGGTGGGTCTCTGGGAGTTTGGCCATGGACTTAGGCCCCAGGATTTGATGTACAGTGGAAGAAGAGTGAGAGATCCTCTGTGTTGACTCGCTTGTGGAAGGCTTCTGGAGGAGGTGCTCCTAGAAACCCACCTTAGGGATAAGGAACACCGTCAGGCAGGCGAAATATGCACCAGCTCCTGAGTTTGAAACCTGGGCTGCGGGAGGAGACAGTTCGGCGATGGCGTGGCGTGGAGAGGATGCCATCTATGTGCTAACACCTTTCCCCAAGGAGTCTCCTTCGCTCCTCATAGCATTCCTTAAGGCAGGTGTGAACTTCGCTCCCTTTTCATGCAAGAGGAAGCTGAGGGTCCGAGAGCAGCAAAGCTGGGTGAGATCAGTGACATTCCAGTTGCTGCCTTGCTCAAAACCCGGGCGTTCCCACTGATGCGTGCTGCCTCTCTGTGCTGACGGCTGTGGCAAGGGAGCCTGGCCCTACTCAGGCTGCAGCGAGACACGGCCGGTGTGATGCTGTGCGAGGCACCATCCCTCTAGGGCGCGCTCCCTGCGTGAAGCGAGTTTAGAACAAGTGGCACGCTCCACTCACTGTACTGCCAGCTGCCCTGGGACCCTCACACTGGTCTTCTGAGCACCCATCTCCTCAGGGACTAACCTCAGGGTTCTGAAAGGATAAATGGTGGCTTGATCTGGCTCTTGCTGCTGTCTCTGTCTGGGCCCTGGTGCATGTGGGTGATGCTGGTAGATTAGAGATGATTCTGGCAGAATCCTGAAGGTCTCCCCATGGGAGAAAGACCTGTCTGGCTGGCTTTCTCGGCACCCTAGTCCGGGCACGCCCTCACGGCTGAGCAGCCCGGCGGCAGGCAGGAGCCGCAGTGTGTGAGTGTGAAAGCGCTGGTGCATGACACAGGGTGGTGTGTTTGCTGCTGTGAGTCAGTGCCCCGACCTCCTTGGGCGTGCTGTCCAGGGGAGGTGTCCCCACATTCCTGCACTGCTTCGCATGTGGGACCCGGGCCCGTTCCCTCTGCCTACCTCAGCCTGAGCCCTGTTTCCTTAGGAGCACCCAGTCCGGATCCCACTCCTCCTCTCCTGACCCCCTCTTCTCCAGCCGCGAGGAGCTCAGCTGTAGTCACTGGGAAGATGTTGCATCATAGGACCTGACCCTCTTGTTTTGGGCATGAGGAAACTGAGTCCCGAAGAGGGCTACACACTGGTCCAGGTTGCAGAGCAAGAGCACACCTCGTTAGTATTAGATCTGGGCTTCCTGGGTTTGGGGTCCCAGGTTTCCTCATAGGATTCCCTCTGCCTAGGGAGGTTTTCTCTAGAGAGGTTTCAACAAGGCCAGCTTCCTTGTTGAGTGAGTCCTACTTCCTGCGTCTCTCTCTGCCCAGTTGTTGGAAACCTGCTTTGAGTTCCTGTTCTGTCGCTATACCCACTGCCCTGCCATTGCTGCCCTCTGTGCCATGTTGGGCACAGGGGTGGAGGTCAGCCCGCCCCAGGCCCTGCCGTGTGGTGGTCCCAAAGGTATCAGGTTAGACTTAGTCTCTCTGCCATGGAATCACAGGCGTTCTTCTTCAAGCTTGCTGAGCCTCACTGCAAAATGGAGCTGTTTCAGTTATAAAAAGTGGTAAGTTATGGTTGCTTGTGAGGGACTCTGTTCTCTCTCCTGGGGCTCTGAGCTTAGGAACAGGCCTCAGCGTCCAGAGTGGCCTGCCCCACAGGAAGCCACCTGCACCATCATTCAGAGCGGGGGCAGGCAGGGTACCTTCCTCACGGACCTCTGCCCTTCCAAAAGCACCAAATAAACCCCATGGCACTTATCACGTCTACTTTCCAAGAAGTCATCTGGGAGTTAGGCCCCAGGGCACATGTAAGCTGACCATGTGAGGGCTCTTTGAAGTAGGACCAACGTCACATTGCGCTAGAGCAGGTTGGGGCATTGGACTTCAACCCAAAGTGCAGCCCGGGCTCTGCTCTTGCCCACTGGTGACGTTTGCCACACACCTGCCCCTTGAGGCCCCAGGCCCTGCTTCTGTGCAGGGAGGATTTGGCCTTGAGAATTTGACGTCAGGGCTGACACTCCTGGGTTCTGTGGCTCTCCTGTCCCACCCCCTTTGCCCAGCCTCATGCCAGTGGTTATGTAACATGGATTTTCAGCAGTACCTCCAGCCACACCTCCTCACTCCTTTCTCAATGACTCACTTTGCTCTTTGACACCAGAGCCACTCGGCTGCCGCGACAGGTGCCTCTAATTCCAACAGAGGTGCTGCTCATGTGTTAGCAGCAGCCACCAGAACCTCTGGCTACTTGGGAGAGGACAGAGCAGTGCCCAGTCATCTCACCCTGAAGTATTGCAGGGTCTTTGGACAAGGACCAGGAAGGTCTCTTAGAGCTTAGAATCTTTATCTGTCCCTGTTTCATGTCACAGATGGGCCTGCTGATGCCCAGAGGGGAGGGACCATTGCAAGATCACAAAGTGGGCATCCCTGGTGGCCTAGGGGTTAAGTCTCAGCATCATCACCAGTACAACCTGAGTTCAGCCGAGCCAGGTAGCTGAGACACATATGGCTCAACAGAGACCTCTCACAGTGTGTTTCAGTAGATCGGCCTGTTCTGCTCCCCACTCTTTCTCTGGTGAATCCTTTCTCCCCCCGCACCTCCTGCCCATACCCCAGTTCTTCAACACACACACACATACACAGCAAGTCGCTAGCAAGGCTAGTACAGAATCCAGCCTGTGTGTCAGGAGCCATGTTGTCATTCCTGTGTTCCTCTGCTCTGTAGCCTTAAGAAACCTTCCTGGGGCTGGGTTTTTCCCCCTATCTAGTACCAGAGTGGAACAGCCTGTGTGAGCCCCTTCCCAGCGGTGGGAGTAGGGAGTGAAGGGTGACTTGCCAGGAATGTGTCCCAGGTCACGTTAGCCAGCATACCTGGCCTGGGTACCCACTTGGGCTGAGACTTTGCCATGGAAAGCAATCAGGGGACACGAGAGCAGATGTCAACAGAACCTCAGCAGTGTCCTCTCTCCAGAGTGAACACTGTGTTCAGCCTTGGGGGGGCGGGGCGTGTGACGTGAGGGGATCAAAGCTGCTCCGGTGCCTGCACCAAGGCCATTCCCTGCACTGTGTCCCGAGGCTCCTCGTTATTCTCATGGCCCCAGCAGGTAGAGACTTAGTGGAGGGAGGAATTCGTTACAGAGCTAGCTCCATCCCAGAATCTCAGGCCCCCACCTTGCAGAGCTCAGGTCGAGTTTGGCCCTCGTGAGGCTCCTCCCCACTAGCCATGGTTAGGCTGTTCTGTTCCCCAGCAATCACGGTGGCTAATACTCATTTGGCTTTCTGAGCAGCTTTAACCTGCTTGCCAGAGAGAGAGTAGGAGAAAGAATACAACGTACCCAAGCACCAAGGTAAAACTTGAAGGTTTTGCTCCTCCTGACAGTTTCAGAGTTGGGACTGGTGCCAGTCACCCTCCATCCCTCCCACTCAGACCTGATACCTGAAGACTCAGGTTTCAGTTTCCTGAAACCACCAGCACCCAGTCCCAGAAAGCCCTCCCTGGGCTGAGAGGCTCCCACATCTGAAGTCATGGAAAACCCAGGCTCTGGCTGTTTGTGATGGTCAGCGGCTCCGCTTCCAGCTGGCACCGGTGCGGGGAAGCGGGCACCTCCAGTGCCGCCAGTGGAAATGTGGTCAGGGCCACCTCGCCAAAGGCAGGGCAGCCTGCAAATCAAGAACGTTCATACCTCTGACCCAGCAGTTGTATTTCTAGAAGTTTGTCTCAAGAAAATCAGATATGTGGGCAATAACAAACTATTTATGGAAGAGGGAGCTAAAAAGGACTGGGAAGTTTTTTAAAGGTCCATCATCTGCACTTGGTTATATGTAGCTTGGCTGTGGGACAGGAGAGGGTAGCCTGGGAAGACATGCTACTGTGGGACTTTGATGAGGGAAAGTAGCGATGATGTGCTTGGAGAAAATGATAGCAGCCATTTGACCTAAATTGTGTGGTTTTTAAAAAAGGAGCATGTGTGCACTTGTGTAAAGGACTCTGGCTGGTTTACCTGCATGCAGGTATTGTAGGTGCTTTTTTGTTTTTTTAAAGTAATGCATTATAACATTATTTCAAGTTTCAGTCATTATGGGTGTGTTTGAGTTTCTTTTTACTTTCTTGTATTTTAAAAATATCTCTGTGTGTATTTGTGATTTTTCTATTCAGAAAAAACTCTTCTGAACAAAATCATCTTGATCTCTACACCTCCCTGGTCCCCCTCTTGTGCTCCTGGTTATGTTGAGTAGGTACCCCCATTGTGCAGGTTCTAGGGAAACAGCACTATCCACCCCACCCCCAGAGCACCAGCCCCAGGGCAGGGGTGGGCCCCAAAGGAGGCCAGGCATTCTTTAGAGCAGCCCAGGATGGCTGCATGGTTCCTCAGGTCAGCTGCCCGGCTGTACAGCTGACTCCCCACCCCCAAAGCCACTGACATGGCTATCGGTTGTCCTTGTCATTCCTGTCTCAGAGCCAGGGCTGAACCTGGCTGCCTAGAAGGACAGCTGCACTGTCCCTCAACAGTCAAACTAAAAGGTCTTGGACGGGCTATGCTAAAGATGGGGTCCAGAGGAAAGGAGTAAGAGGAAAAGTGTCCCACTCCCTTCCAAGGGCTCAGCCCAGACGGCAGCTGCCAAGTGCCTGGCACCAAGGCTCAGTGGTGAGGACCTGCAGCTCATGGAGCTCATGCAGACGGTCTTCCAGCCTTTCGGGTCCACGAGCACCCAGACGCGTGACACACTCAGCTCTTCCCGTCCCTTTGGGTGGTGCCACAGCCCCCTCTCACCCAAGGTCTTCTCTGCAGCTGGTGAAGACCCACAACCTGCTGACCACCAGGAACTATATCTTCGGATACCACCCCCATGGCATCATGGGCCTGGGTGCCTTCTGCAACTTCAGCACAGAGGCCACAGAAGTGAGCAAGAAGTTCCCTGGCATAAGGCCCTACCTGGCCACGCTGGCAGGCAACTTCCGGATGCCTGTGCTAAGAGAGTACCTGATGTCTGGAGGTGAGAATCCACCTCTGCCTGCCCCTACTAAGCTCCATTGTTGAGACCTCATCTGCTTCATAGAGCAAGAGGGTGGAGATGCTAGGAAGCCCAGATGCCGTACCTGGCGGCTGGTCCTGTAGAGTCTCCGGCAGGGTGGGTCAAGGATGAGCAAGAGAGCTGTGCACACTTCTTCAGGATTCAGTCTGGATAACATCTTCCCCAAGAAACCACTCTATGCCTCTTCTAGGCACCCTCCCCCTGTGCTGACCTTTCTAAACTTTCCATTGTCCTTGGTTCTGTCATTATCCACCCGCCTGTGCTCCCATCGGCACCCGGCGCCAGCCGGGTGGTTAAGACCTTCGCAGATGTTTGCCAAATGAGTGAGTTCTCTAAATAATCATGTGTCATTATCTCCCATTGTATAGGTAAGTAAGATGAGGCTCAGAAAAAGAAATAGGTCATACTGGTCCATACTTATAAGTGACTAGATTAGGTCTGGGGCCAAAGTCCAGGCTTTCTGTTCATGCTTGACTATGCAGGGCATAGGGAATGCGTCTGCGCAGTCCTGACCACGCCTCACTTCTCCCAGGCATCTGTCCTGTGAACCGGGACACCATCGACTACTTGCTTTCCAAGAATGGGAGTGGCAACGCCATCATCATCGTAGTGGGGGGTGCAGCCGAGTCCCTGAGCTCCATGCCTGGCAAGAACGCTGTCACCCTGCGCAACCGCAAGGGCTTTGTGAAACTGGCCCTCCGCCACGGGTAAGTGCCTGCCTGTGTGCACACACGCCTCACCCCACCCCTCACATGCTAGGAGCGAGAGCAAGAGGCCAGGAGGGTGCTGTTGCTGGCAACATCGAGGACGATGTCCTACTAGAGAGGGTGCCAAGAGGACAAGAAGCTTAGATTTTGTGAACTTTTTCTAGAAAACCAGGGATACCACCTGCTCAGCACATTCCATTTAGCAAAGCGCATTGATTTCTACAGTCCTGCAGGTTGTGACAGCCCAATTTTCCATAGAGGAAACTGCATTAGGCTAAGTGACCTGGTGAGGGCCACATGGTCAGGCTCTCTGGGCTCCATGCCTAGTGTCTGCCTCCCACACGTGGGCTCTGCAACTCCCAGAAGAGGGCCTGCGTCACTCCAACAGGGGTGCCCCGGGGGTGGGAGAGGGTGTGACCTGTGGTCACATTACAAGTTAAGGTGCCACTAACCATGCCACCTAGGCCCCACCCAGCCCCTCTCTCCTGCTCCTCAGGATCTTCTTACCTTAGGCTCCAGACAAGGCTGCTCTTTCCATCCAGGCTCTACGCCAGGCCTGGGGACACAGATCAGATCCCATGCCTAGCTTCAGGGTGGAGAGGAAGGAGGGGAGGGGACAGCAATACTTTGTGTGCTCAGGGCTGTGACATAGGCCTGAGCAACTCCTGGCTTATGGTATATTTGTCATCATTGTTCATTTTAAACAGTACTTACTCCCCCTCCCCACTCAGGTGTAGACCCATAGAATTCCCTCCCCCATTTGCAGGTGCACCAAAACCACAGTCCCCTGTGCTCCTTCCCACCCCTCTCCCTCCCCCTCCCCTGCAGGATGTCTCTGGTTTATAATTGTCTGTTTTTGCTTTGTCGAGTTTTGTATTGTTTTTTTTCCCCCACGTCTGACTTACTTCTCCTGTATTCCTCCTATAAGTGAAACCATCTGATACTTTTCTTTTTGTTTCTGACATATTTCTCTGAGCATGATCCCTTTTTGCTCCATCCATATTATCTTTGACAAAGGAGCAAAGAACATGTAATGGGACAAGTACAGTTTGTTCAATAAATGGGCTGGGAAAGCTGGAACAACATAAGCGAAAGAATGAATCTAGACCATACCTCATACCAATGTGCAAAAATCAACTCAAAATGGATAAAAGATTTGGGCATTAAGACCTGGAACTATAAAATACGTAGAAGAAACTATAGGTAAAATACTACATGACATACATCTCAGTAACATCTTTAAAGACTCACCACCCAAAGTAAAGAGAATGAAGGAAAAGATAAACATCAAACTAAAAAAACTTGTGCACAGCAAAGAGACAGTAACCAGACATAGAACAGCACTTCCATGTAGCTTTCCTTTTGCTTAGCAGTTCCAAAGCCCTGACATGTTCCCTAGTCACTAATAGAAAAACAGAGGGCCCCATCTTAATCTGGTCATGAGGATACACATGGTTCGGGGCCCCCCAAGTGCGCCTCTGGTGGGATAAGAGCTTGACTGGTGTCTGCGGCCTCTGGAACTGACAGGTGGAACTGAAGCCAATGATTGCAACATGACAGACCCTGGCCTTCCCTTCCAGGGCGGACTTGGTTCCCACCTACTCCTTCGGAGAGAATGAGGTGTATAAGCAGGTGATCTTCGAGGAGGGCTCCTGGGGCCGATGGGTTCAGAAGAAGTTCCAGAAGTACATTGGCTTTGCACCGTGCATCTTCCATGGCCGAGGCCTCTTCTCCTCTGACACCTGGGGCCTGGTGCCCTACTCTAAGCCCATCACTACTGTAGGTGAGTCCCCAGCCCATACACCCTGAACTTGGGGTGCCATCCAGTTAAGTGGTGGAGTTAGGATTTGAATCCAGACCACCTGGCTCTGGTAGCTGTGCTCTCGACCATGAGGAGATGTTTGTGTATGATGAAAATGGTCCATGGGGGTGGAAATTTGGGGGTGATTCCATTGCTGTCAGTCAGGCAATGCGGATTGGGTTTGTGGCACCCATGAGTATCAGGGAAGAACTGTGACAACAGAGGTGAGACATGTGTATGGGGCTCTGGAGTGTCGTTGTAGACCCCAGAAAAGAGGTCGTTCTTAGTTTTTTTTATTTGTATTTATTTATGCATGCAAGAACTAGGGTGTAGGCCAGAGATACGAGGCGGGCAGTGAGAAGATTCACCAGAGACAGAGTGGGGAGCAGAACAGGTGGATCGCCTGAAATACACTGTTGAGGCAGCCGGCGAGACAGGAGAAGCCTGCACCAAGTGGGTCAGGAGGCTGGCAGTGCTGCAGTGACTGCTGATAGCTTGACAGTGCTGAGACTTTAATCCCTGCACCACAGGGAGGCCCAGATTCTTACCACTGTTAGATGGAAAGGAGTGGCCCAGCAAAAGAGGAAGGAAGAGAGTTTCTTCATGGGGAAAAAAAATAAAAAAGGTCTATTTGCAGTTCTAGCAGCAGGCTGCCGCTTTTTCAGGACAGTAAAGAAAAGGACTCTAGTAGAAACCTGTGAGACGTGGAGCAAAAAATTAACTGCAGTTGGCCCTCATCTGTGTTATTTTGAGTTTGAGACAATTTCAAGTATTCCAAAGAATCATCAGTTGTAGAGGTGTGCGTTTATGTTAATGGTTCACGAAGTAGAGATTATCCTGGAGCATGTGATTTTAGGGGCTAAAGCTCACATAGATAATTGGGATTATCAGACCAGGTGTTTTGCTTTGTACATTTAGACAGAGACTGACCACCTGCGTTTTAGTTCACATTATCCAAACTCACCCGGATTCTTGTTATACATGAATCCACTCCAGGGCTGATCTCTTTGAGGGGCTGGCAAGGGTCAGGGTCCTTGGGCAGTGGCAGTTTGCTTTTCACCTCATGAGTAAAAAACTACTTGAGCGTTGTAGGAGAAGTTCAGATTTGCATTTTAAGGTGATCCTTGCAGCTGATGAATAGAAAATGGGTTAGAAGGTACAAAAGTGGGTGCTGCAAGACCAGTCCAGAGGCTTCTGTGGTAGTTGGTGGCTTATACTGGGGGAATGACGGGGAGGTAGAAAGAAGACCTGGGAAGAAACTGACAGGATTTGGGGATGAGTTGGATTTGGAACTAAAGCAGGATAAGAAACAAAATAATAATAAGTACACTTGAATGTTGATTTCCTCCTCCCTCTCCTGTCGTTGTTACCTTTTTCAAAGTAATTCATGTATGGTACAGAATCTTTACCAAACCCCTATGACAACACGGTCCTCTGTGACAGATGAGGAAACTGGGGCTCTGAGAGGTGAAGTGCCAGAGTAAGGCAAAAAGGCACGTGTTCCTTGGACCACGGCTTGCCAGTGTGAGGGCAGTAGGTGCAGGGCCTTGACCCCACCTGTGGCTCAGTGGCTGTCTAGTCCTGAGCAGGCCCCTCCCCAGGGCCCTGGGCCTCCGTCCTCTGCTCTGCTGCAGGAACCACCTGAGAGGCTGCCCACTAGCACAGCACCAGCCCCTGTTACAGCCCTGTAGGAGATGTCTAGGGAGGGTGGGCTGAATGGCACTGACTAACCAGAGGCCTCTGCCCGTCCTTGCAGTGGGGGAGCCCATCACCGTCCCCAAGCTGGAGCACCCGACCCAGCAGGACATTGACCTGTACCACGCCATGTACATGGAGGCCCTGGTGAAGCTCTTTGACAAGCACAAGACCAAGTTTGGCCTCCCAGAGACCGAGGTCCTGGAGGTGAACTGAGCCCAGACCTTATGGGGCCAACTGCAAATCGTTTTCTACCAAGTTCTTGAGTGCTTTTTGTTCTGTAAATTTGGAAGCGTCATGGGTGTCTGTGGGTTATTTAAAAGAAATTATAATAATTTTGTTAAACCTTTACAATGTTAGGTCTTTTTTAAGATGGAAAAAGTGAATATTCCAACCTCTTTCACTTCCTATTTGTCCTGTTCTAGGTGGCGGCTAACACATCTGGGCCTTTATGTTTTCACAACCAACCACTCTGCTTCCCTTACCAAAAGTACAGAGAAAACAGTCCTGGTTAATTTACTTCGACTAATTAGAATATTGCTCAGGGGGATGAGGGGCAAATGCCACCTCTAAAAAGGACACCTCTATTCCCACCTGCCTACCCTTGACTGAAGGACTAGTCCTTCTTTCCAAAGGGAGGACCTAGAAGGCACAGTTATCCTCATTAGAACACAGCACTAAGCATCCGGAAAGCTCCAGCTTGAGTCTCCTTCCTGCCACTGCCCCAAACCAGTCGGAACAAGAATGGGGGTGGCACTAGTCCCATACTAGCACAGGAGAGCCCAAACGCAGCACCTCTTGGGTTATCCACCACTGTGTGTGGGAGTGACTGCTTCCTCGGGGGGTTTGATATGCAACAGCAGAGGTCCAGCCTTGGTCTGAATCATCTTCTGCACAGTGACCTCAGTTTGCTCAACCCACAGCCCACATGTGGGTGAGAAAGAGGCCCCTGGGCTTCTTTAGAGAGGGGCTCAGCCTTCTGAGCAGCAGGTTGGCCCCAGGACGGGAGACCTTGAGCCTGAGCCTCATGTATCTGTGCCTTTCTGAGAGGGTGGGAGCTGGGGAGACCTGGCCCTTCCTCCGTGTTCTGTTTTCTCTTGATGAGATCGTTGTGCCATACCAGACTTTTGTATTTTCCTAAAAGAATAAATGAAAACAAGAGTCCTCTGCAAGTTGTTGCTGGAGCTGCTTTCACACCTGGCTGCTGACATCTGCCGCAACAACAGCCCTGGCTGGGTGACCTGCTGACCCCAGCATGGTGCCTTATTTGTGGCTGTGTAGCGAATCACTCTGTGACTTAGTAAATTTAAACAGCATTGTGTCTACAGTTTCTGAGGCGCAGGTAACAGAGCTTGGCTGGTCATCTGCCCAGGCCTCTCCCAAGAGGGCTCAGATTGGGGAACAGACCCACGTCCAAGATCACTCTTAGGGCTGTTGGCAGGGCTCACTTGCCCACTGACGGTTAACCAGAGGCCTCTCCTTTCCTTGCTGCGTGGGCTTTTCTAGAGCAGCTTACAACATGGGAACTGGCTTCAGAGAGAGAAAAAGAGAGCCAGAGAGAGTATGCCACAGAAGTCAGTCTTCTACAACCTAGTCTTGAAAATAATGTACTGTCACATTTCCAGTCTCTTCATTAGATGCAAGTCACTCAGTTCAGCTCACACTCAAGAGGATGGTGCCATGAGTGAATACCAGGAGACAGGAGACACTGAGCTCCTTTCACAGCTGCTATGAGGTGGTGAAGGTCTAGCTATAGGGTCTTAGGACAGCTGAGCTGGGAAGGTCCTTACGTATCGCTCAGACTGCTCCTGGCTTTACTTCCACCTCAAAGTGGGAGGCGTAGGCTGCTCTTACCCTAGTAATTTCATGTCACACCCAGGTCTCACTGGGTGCCAGCTCTGTTTTCTAATTCCATTCATTTCAATGTTTATAACCCTCTGGGAACCCTTCCCTTCCCAGCTGAGATCAAAGAACCTCATTCCAACCATCCCACTGCCTGAGTGCCGTGCCTGTCCCTGCCCTGACCACCTCAGGGACCTCCTCGTGCTGTAGGCTATGAGCGGGCTGGTGGAAACAACTGAGGACACTCGGACTGGTCAGGACTGTGATAGTGACGTCCCTAACCTAACCCGGGGTGCATCATGAGGAAATAGTGGCCTCAGCCGGCATCCAAAAGGTAACTGGAAGTTTGCCAGGAAGGAGTTAAAGGGCAGAGCAGTAAGTGCAAAGACCCACAGACAGCATTGCTGATTTGAAGGACAGAGAGGTCATGTGGTGGCAAAGAGGGCAGAAATGTGCTTCATTGACAGGGGTGATGGGCCAAAGGACAGGGCAGTGAGAGCAGGTGCTCTGGAGGACCGACAAAGGCTGACCTCTGTGGTACCAGGCAGGTCTCAGGTGGCAGAGGTCAGGTCAGAGGATGTACCGCCTCCTTTAGGATGGAGGGACAGCCTGTTTCTGACCGTCTCAGTCCACCCCTCTGCTCCAGGCTAAACACAGGCCCTAACCCAGACCACCCCACAAAGGCAGACCATTATTCTCAGCAATTCTGACATGAAAATGGAACCTACTCTGCACTAGGGAACTTGTCCATCTCTGCCATGGAAAAGAGTCAATAACCAGGACCAAATCCTGGAGGGTCACCCCACCTAGGGCCCTGTTGGCCTGTACACCAACAAAGGCCAGCCTCACTGCGTGGAGGCAGTTCCAAGTAAACTGCGTTGGTTTGGGAGTTGTTTCCTTGGGAGAGGGATTTGAAACCTTTTCCAGAAAAAATTGCCTTTGGATGAGAAAGTAGTACTATAATCTCAGTTTAGAGTCTGTTCTGACTTTTCACAAAGATGGAGCCAAAAGAAAAGAAGCCCTTCCCCTTCCAAGCAAAGGCCAAGGCAAGAACTTTGAAGGCCAAGAAAGCAGTCCTGACAGGCGTCCATAGCAATGAGGAGATATACACTTGGCTCACTTCTCAGAGGCCCAAGACATAGCTACTCCAAAGGCAACCCACATATCGGCAGAAGCACACTCCCAGGACAAACAAGTTCCCTGCTATGACATAAACACGTTTACTCTTCCCACTGAGTCAACCATGAAGAAAATAGAACTTGTGTTCCCTGTGGATGTTGAGGCCAACAAGCATCAGATCAAACAGGCTATGAAGAAGCTCTATGACATTGATGTGACCAAGGTCAACACCCTTGTCAGACCTGATGGAGAGAAGAAGGTGTATGTTTCACTGGCTCCTAACTATGATGTTTTGGATGTTGCCAAAAAATTGGGAGCATATAAACTGATTCCAGCTGGCTAATTCTAAATACAATTTTTTTTCATTCACCATGAAAAAAAAATCTGATTCCGCCTGTGGTTCCCAGATAGGCCTCCAGGGGGTGGCATGGAGGATGGTCTGAGGCACATTCCAGACTTCACATTTTGGCATTTATGCAGCTCCAACCAGGGCTAGAAGCTAAAGAAAGTAAAGTCACAGACTCACAAGTTCATATCTTGACAGGAATTTTGAATTATTAGAGCGAAACTCCTCCTCATCTGGAAAACAAGGCACATAGAGGTCCAAGGATTTGTCTCTTATCACGTAGCTTCTCAACATTTACAGCTTGACAGGAAATGAAGGCCTTCCAAATTCAATGTCCTTTGTTCTGAGGTGTTTGCATTGTAATTAGGGAGCCAGACTGTAAAGCACTAGAGACATAATATAGTTTAGAATTAAACATCCAATGCTACCCACCCCCTCGTGGGTAAATGCCAGTCAAACAGGGCTGTACCAAAGCAGAGCTGCTGAGGCCCAAAAGCTGCTCACAAGTCTAAGGCACCTTCTGGTGAGGACCCATAGGAGAGGGGCTGAAGGGCCAGGTGAGTCTGGAACAAAAGGAGCAAAATTAAAGTGTGAGTCGGAATAAAGAGCGCTATTGTCAGCCTTCCCACAAGATTCTCACCGATGTCCTTCCAAGTGCCCCGAATCCCTGGTCCAAGCCCAAGGCCAAGAAGCAAACATGACGCTTGCTGTCTTTACCCATGTGTCTCCTCCAAGACCTTTCTAGCTTCACCTGCTCAGCTCCGACCTGCCTGACCAGAGCTGGGAAACTGGAACCTCCCCTTTCTGTGGACATGACACTTCCATTACAGGAGAAGGTCTCAAGGGTTGGGGTCAGGCACTGGGTGCTTGTTGGTGGAGGTGGCATGGTAACACGCATCCGAGGAGGGGTAAATGTATTCCCCTAAGTCATGTGACTGTGAATCAATGTTACCTCAAAAAAGGAAAAAAAAATTATGATGGTAAAAAAAATTAGATTTTTTTTTTTTGCTATTCTTTCTCCACAGTATCTTTCCATGATGATATCAAAATTAGGTCATGTGCATTTTCTTTCTTTCTTTTTGTTTTTTTTTAAAGATTTGTTTATTTGTGCATACAGACTGGGGTACAGGCCAGGGGTGCAGGTCGGTGTGAGGATTCACCAGAGACAGAGTGGGGAACAGAACAGGCCGGCTGACGAAGTACACTGCTGAGGGGAGCAGCAGGTGGGTCAGGAGAGGTCTGCCGCGCCATGTGGTCACCTCCGGGGCCGGTAGGGATTGAACTCATGCTGAAGAAGCTTTAGCTTCTTAGTGCTGTGCTTTAACCCCCTGTGCCACCAGGGAGAGTCCCCTATGTGCATTTTCTTAATGATTTTTTTCATAAAACTTTTGGAGTGGTTAAAAATATAGAGACATGGCCCTCCCTGGTGGCGCAGCGGGTTAAAGCACTGCACTGAGAAGCTAAAGCCACTTCCGCATGAGTTCGATCCCCGCCTGCCCCGGAGGTGACCACATGGCGAGGCAGACCTCTCCTGGCCTGCCCGCTGCTCCCCTCAGCAGTGTATTTCGTCGATCTGCCTGTTCTGCTCCCCGCTCTGTCTCTGGTGAATCCTCTCACCCTCCGCATCTCTGGCCTGTACCCCAGTTCTGTACAAATAAATAAATCTTTTAAAAAATATATATAGAGAGAGACATGTTTTGGGTTGCCAAATTTTGCTCTCCTATAACCTGGAGCCACCAGAAACTGCCAAGGATTCTCCCTTAAAATCTTTGAGGAAGTGCAGCTCTTCATCTTGGACTTGTCGCCTCTGGATCTGAGAAAGAATTTTCTGTTGCTTTATTTTTTTGTTAAAGATGTATTTACTTATGCATACAAGAACTGGGATACAGGTCAGAGGTGTGAGGATTCACCAGAGGCAGAGTGGGGAGCAGAACAAGCAGTCTGAGTGAAATACACTGCTGAGGGAAGCAGCAGGCAAGACAGGAGAGGTCTGCTGCGCCATGTGGGTCAGCTCCTAGTGAGGGATTGGTCTCATGCTGT